TCAGGCTCCCCCTCGAAATCCTTCAGAGTTCGATCTGCAGATAGACTTGCATATGCTTTGTGAACAGCAATCTGCCTCTGCATCAATGTCTGCAGGATCGAGGGGCAGGAAGCCCAGGCTTGGGGAACTTGGTGCTTCAAGATCCTCGGGCTCCTGCACCAGAGCAATTGAAAGTCGTTCAAGCAGTTTGATTTAAACCATTTAAACTCTTGTCTGCCATTGCTCTGTGACCCATGCAGTTTGTTTGCAAAGTTGTGGATAGGTGTGAGGTTATTATACGTTTCACTTCACACACCCGCTTCGCTACCTCAACTGCATGTTCCGCATGTATCGCGAACACTTCCCAAGCACATTTGGGCAGCAGGTGCGGAACAAAAGATGCTCATTTTTTCCCTCCCGCTTGGCTCGAAGCATGCAGGGCAGACAGGATCACAAGACAAATGACAAAGATGCTCATTGATTGAAATGGTTTTCCCATGAGATGTTGCCATTTCCAGGGATGGTGTTAGCCTTCCAAGCATTATGACAACATGCCATTTCAGGTGTGAAAGACATGTTCGCTACGCAAATATCTCCTTGGCAGGAAAGTGCTTTTTTGAGCGCTTGAAGTCCGGTTCGACATGACATTGTTTGCGTTTGCATGCTCAAAGTCGAAGTGGGGCCTCTGGCAAGGGCGCCTGTAGATCTTGCAGTTGTTCAGGCAGGTCGCACTGGCCATGACCAGACGCACCAAAGCAGGAGATCTTGCCCTCCAGCGACACAGCCACTGTGAAGTTGGCACCGGCAGCCACTGCCTGGTCGCACAAGGCCGACCCTACGGTCAAACCGAGTGAGCAACTTCGAAACCAGCTCGTGGAATGCAAGTGCATGGGGTCGTACTTGCATCTAGGCTGCAATGACCTCCTGCAACCTGCTTGGATCATCGCACTGGCCGGAAGCATTGCTTCCGAAGCAGCACAGCTTGCCCGCTTCTGTTACAGCACAGGTGTGAAAGTCCCCCGCAGCGACCAGCCTCACGTTTCATGTTGTCATGATCTGCACTGGAACCCTACTAAGGCTTCATCGAAAGCACCGTGCCCTTAGTGAGCCTCACTGCTCCCAGGTCTTCCGGAACATCACACTGGCCGCAACCTGTGCACAGAACGGGCAGCCCGGCCAACAAAGTGTAGCAGAAAGTTCCTTCTGAATGAGGCAAGAGGCCGTTATCACCGAAGCACACAAGGGAGCCACCCGTCGAGATGGCACAGGTGTGTCGGAAGCCTGCTGCTATGGCCTTGCATTTGCCCAATTCTTTGGGGACGGAGCACTGGCCGTAGACGTTGTCGCCAAAACAGTGCAGGTGGCCTGTATTTTGCAGGCTTGCCGACATCTGGCTTTGGAACTGCTGTCTTCCTTCCATCCTGCCTTGCTCGTCCAGAGCGCATGTGTGTCCAAACCCTGCTGCTGTGCACACTACGGAAGTAAGCATTGGAGGAACTTCGCATTGGCCAAAGCCTTGGGTGCTTTAAAGCTCTCGCTTGGCCAGGCCAGGCAGGTCTTGTGCGGACAAACAAGGTTCAAGACAGGTCTCTGTTATCTCCAAAGCATCGGAGCACGCCGTCTGTTTGAATGACGCAAGTATGCAAATTACCTTGGCAACAGACTTCGTCCAGTTTTGAAAACCCCTTGTGGAAGCTAATTTCTGGCCGTGGAAGCGAAGATGCCCGCAGCCACTGCTCGAACAGGGCCCAGCCCTGCAGGCTGATCGCATTGGCCACGACCCGAAGTTCCGAAGCACAGCAAGCCTTGCAAAACACAAATTTCATGGGGATCGCACAAATGGCGTAACGCATAGATCTGCATACCACGCACCATTTGCAAAAACAAAGGTGCTGCCGTCCGCTTGTGCAACGCTGGAGTGCCGGAAGCCTCCGCAGGTCTCTCTCGTTTGAACTTTGGGGTTTGACTTAGCTGCAAGCTGCTCGAATCTGCTCCTTCACATGCAAAGCACGGCGAGAATTTTCCACTACGCCTGCAGCAGCTGAAACATTGGCCAGGTTGGCTGCCCGCGCAGCACGATCCAGGATCTGATCCTTGCAAAGCATTGAGCCTGCAACATGATGCATGCTTGAGAGTGAACAGCGGTCATGGTCTCCTTCAGAGCGAATGTGTCGCTCAGCTGCTGCTCGGCATCCTCCTTGGGGTCAGCTACTGGCGGCCCCTCCGCCAACTTGCACACAGTGAATCTCACCCTACCTTAGTCCTTCAACAATTTCACCCAGCATGATCTGTCCTCCTCGCGCTCAAGCTCAGCAAGACGAGCTGCCGCCTCTGCCTTGCGGCGCTCCTCAGCGTTAACTCCATCACTCTTGCGATGGCTCAGTGTAAGGTCTTCTTGCGTTGAGCAACCTGCTGTTAGATATTAGACATGGACATTGTTCTCTAAATTCGATTGTGCAGGTTCTGGGCACATGTGGCCTCAGATCTCTGCAGTGGGGCTCTACCCATTAAACTAGTGGTGAATGTCAGCGCACTAACATGAAACTTGAACATGCATGAACCCAGGGCAATGAACATTCCAAGCTTCTTCGGCAGCTCGCTTCTTTGAAGCTTTCTTGCCCGAAGACTTGGCACAAAGGGGGTATTGAGGCTCATGCAAATTTGCTTGACTCCCGGTTCTGCCATAGACAAGCTGACAAGTGGCAGCCTTGCTACTCGTCGGGCTTAAGTCCCCAAGCAAATCGTCGACGCTCAGCTGGCTTACGTCCTTGAGAGCCAGCAGAAACTTCAGAAACTTTTCACTGCCAAGGCAAGCCAAGCACAAAATGCTATTGGCCTTGCTGGCTTGGCTGCTGGGTGTCGGCACTACAGCCTGCGCATTCAGCGACATGCTTGGCTCGTAGTGGTAATAGTGGAGGCAATGTCATGGAGGACAGTGGGGTGCCCAGTCTGTTTTTTCGCATCTCAGGCTACCTGGAAAGCCAATCTGCAAGCAAGTCGCTTTGTTGCTTGCTTGTCGCTTCAGCGCCTGTCGGTTTTGCAGCGCAATCGATGCTGTCGCGAACTGTTTCTGAACACAACTGCGCAATTTTCCGTCCTTCTTCCCCATGGCAGTGGAGGGTGACCATGCGCTATTCGGATCTCAGGATCCATCTGGTTGGAGCCAGATCTTGGAGTGAAAAGATGGCTGTCGGCATCTGAATTAAGGCTTCATTTAACCACTTGTGAATGCTTTTGTTAATGATGCGCCTACTTGCGTCTGTTTCAGCCAGCTGCATGATGAGACCGGAGGTCGGCAAGGAGGTGCTTGACGCACAACATTCGCGCAAGGCTCCTCTTCTTCTTCTTTGCAGTGCTCGCTCCCTCTTCTTCTTCTATTCTCTCTTTCTTTCAGGAAGTTAGGGTGCTCCAGCCCCCCTGGAGCAAGGCTCCGTGCCCAAAGCCGTGCCAATTCCAAGTCGGGGACCCCGCAGGGAGTATCCCACACCTGTTTCTCAAGCCTAGTGATCGCATCGCTCTCAGCCGCCGGCCACCAGTTTCGCAGCCACCACGGATCACCCATACAAGTGCCTTATAGTAAGAGTCATACTTTGATCATGTCGATGTTGAGTCTTTTCTATGCAATTAGATCGGTACTTTGAGCATGGCGCCACTGCAGGGGCATGTTTCCTCTCCGCCGATTCGGAGTCTTCCAGTTCCACCTCGGCTATCTCAGCACAAGTGGGCTTGCTTGGCTGCGAATGGCTGCAGGATGCTGCAGGAAGTGCGCGGCACAGCCAAGCGGTCTCATTTTCATTGTTATGCAACTTTGCCCATGTGTCTGTACGACGGCCCAGCAATGCGCCACGAGCAGTTAGCATGAAAGCACCACCTGGTCCGCTGCAGCCAGATGGCCCTGAGAGTTTGACAAGTGAGCCATTCATAATTACTAGCGGTGAAAAGTGCTTACAACCATGGTCCTGACATACAGCGCCGTCCGGGCCTCTGAGCGAAAGAGTCAAACAAAAGTGCCTGAACCAACTGGCCCGACAGCAGCCAAAGCTTACTGGTCCTAACGTAGGTAACGAAAAGGCGTGCCAGAAACGCTGGTGCGCGAATTGGGTGAGAACTGTTGTGCCTCTCTGAAAACGAGTCCGCAGCGGGAAGCAAACGCATCGTAATTGAGTTCATTCTGCAGGGAGGTGAGGGCGGCCTACCTTCCACTCATCCCTGTTTGGCTTACGAAGCACAAGGCTCAGGAACCCTCTATGCAGGATCGAGCTCAAAGAGGTCTCATCGAAACACTTCTTAAATCAGGCAGCGACACAAGCTGGCTTCTGTGTTGGTGGCCTGTCACTCGAAATGCCTCTCTTCAAGCTGGGGCCATGAATCATCATGTACGAGTTGTTGGCATTTACTTTGCACTAGCCGGGAAATTGACAGCAGCTTGTCAAGAGGAAATGTCAAATCAAAACTCTGCTTTACACGGCAAAAACATCTACAAAAAGTTCTGAGTGACACTTGGCTCGAAGCGATCAAGCCTGGCCCCTGGCAAGGCGTGCAGTATGTGCATGGTCCATATTTTGCACGCTTGTCCCATTTCAGCTAGTGGGTGACGTAAAGACACGGGGTAACTCAAGGATGCAGGCAAATATATGGTCTCAGAAAGGATATTTATCACCTAGCTCGCCTGAGCCGCACAAGTGGCATCATCTCGGAACTTCTGAGACAGGTACAAGATGCGTTGGGCAAATATGTGCAGACTACCGCTTTGAGGCAAGGCGCCTCCAGCGGAGTCGATCGCACCAACGCGGTTAAAGCTTTCTGCACAATGCCGCGACATCTGAATTCAATGATGCCACATAGGCCAGGTTTACCAAAAAGACAAGTTGCTTTGATGCCTCTCTTAATGTCCACTCTCAATTTCATAGCTTTTCTAGGGTCGGCATTGATCACTGCAGCTCTTGTGCAGAAAAGCCATATGGAGCGCAAGGCCCCATGATGGCATTGCAAGTGTGCAGTCATTCGGTCCCCTACTGCCTTCATGTCTGTGTTCCTTGAGAACCCAAGGCAGTGGGAGAGAAGAAGTCTGCGTCAGCGTCCGATGTTAGCGGTAAGACACGTTCATCCTTTCGGAGGCCCTCCCACGCGTCGTAATTCCTCAGCTGATTGGCTGAGGCGGCCAATGGCCAGAAGGATATCTGGTGACGGATGTAGCATGCTCAGCCAAGCCTCGTATCGCGATGCAAGTCAGGGAGTGAAACGCTCTGAGCACCGTGCTTTGGCAAGCGTCGCAGGCCTTGCTTCAAAGAGTGTGATGCGGCATATGCCTGCTATCATGCTCAAATTGCCAAAGCACATGTGCTGCAGCGCTGTATCGCCTGAGCTGAGGCACAGCAAGTCTTTGAAACTTGGGCAGCCTTCCTAACAAAAATCCCAGCACAACATGTCTGCCAACATCGCAGCTGCACCACCATGAAACACAAGGCAACATCCCAGGAACACCCAACAACCTGAAGCAAAACCCTCCCTCTCATTTCTCAACAAGCAGCTGCAAGCTTATGCTCGTAATTGGCTTCCATCCTGTTGGAAGGAGCTTATCTTGCAGGAAGCAAAAAAGGTCAATCTGACACCCGTCCTCTGCACTTCTGATACAAAGTACAGGTCGTCATTTATGGCTGTGAGGGCATCTGCCCGGCACCTGACGCAAAGGTGAGGATGGCAGAATTAGCATATCGCAATTCTTGCTGGGGCGAAGCACACATGAGTTTGCAGCAGGGGAAGCCCCCACCAAGACTTGCGCTGCCGAAGCCTGATTGCAGACCCAAGCAGTTTGGGTGAAGCACACGCATGTTGCGAGTGACACGAAGGGAACCTGTTGAATGGCCGCACGATCTTCAAGTCGTCAAAGTGTACATTGTCATCGAAAAACATCTCATGGCGCTGGGTGCTTCGGGAGGCATCAAAAAGGAAGAATTTGCCACCGTCCTGACACAAACTTCAGGGCTTGGCACGTGAGTTCCCATGGCTTGTAGCAACCGCTGCCCGTCCTGGCTGTGGTTCTTTTCTTTCCAGAATTGGAAATTGTCCCGGAATCCGGCTGTAACGCACTTCGACGACAAGTCCCAAATGAATTCCACCACTGCAGACCTTAAGGCCACAAGCTGCTCACGCCGATCCCACAAGCCTCCCTGCTGTAAGTATTGCACGTGCCCGAAATTATCCTCTTCACCGGCAGATCGTTCTGCTGGAAAAACGCGAGGGTTTTATCCTGTGCATCCTGCAAAATGGCAATGTCAGGCTCCATAGCTGTCTATCAATTTCACCTGTGCAACTTACGCTATGCAAGCTGTAATGCTGATTTGCGCTCCTTGTAGCGTCCTTCTCCAGGTTGCTCAATGGTCCCCAGCACCAAGTGCAATTCCTCGTCTTCCTTGGACACTTCCCGCACTCGTCCGAACAGGCCCGGAGAAGAACGAAACTCTGAAATTGGCTGAGATGCCACATGGAAATTGCCGTAGCGCTCTGGATGTCCCATGTGGAATCGGTAGTCCGGCTCGCCGTCACTGCCATCCATGCAGAATCCTTGCCAAAACAAGATGTACCAAAAGTCGAAAAGCACATGTGCTAATACCACAGTAAACACACTTGAAGCGCAAAGGTCCTGGGAACATTGGATGTTTTCCTTCACAGAAAGAATTCAGCTCCTGCGACACCAACTCCAAGTCCTTTCAGTGACGACTCGAACTGGATTTGGAACGAACATCTTGTGCCGTAAACTGATTTCAAGGAGGAAAATAGGGAACATAGCTCTGAGACTCGCGGGCTCCTCGCCAAAACTTCGGAAGATCAAACAGAAAGACCTTGTGTTCGGCAGGAGCATGCCTCCATGATGAGGTTCTGAATTTCCCGAACTGCTCTCGCATTCTTTTAGCCAAAAACAAGCGCAACTACAAACTACAGAGTGGGGCCAGGCAGCCGCTTTGATCGCTTGAGCTCCACGAGCAGGCGGAAGAATGCATGCACAACTTGGACTGGAGACCCATCCTGAATCAGCTCCGCTTGTTTGCTATTGAATTGAAGGGGTGCGCTTCAAAATGTTGTATTCAAAACCCCATCCGCGCTGAATCGGTGACCTTCTAAAGAACCGATAAAGAACAACAGCTGAATCACTGCCGGCTGGCCGGATAGATGAGCTGCTTGCACAGCTCTTTGTGAGAGTGGTCCATGCTTTCTCCCGGGTGCCCCTGCAAAGTGAAAGCGCCTCGCAAGCAAGCCAACATGTCGACAGAGTTCTTCCACTAGGTGCCCGTGGTCAGTTTGTCCCAGCTTGCACTGGACGCGAAACTGGATCCCCATAGGCCTTTCAGCTTCTGCCGGTCTTTTCTAGCAGCGCTCCCAGGCATCGTCCTCTCCAGAAACTCAGCATAGCTAACCTGCACAAGATTGTGATTGCGGGCTTGCAGCAAATGCTGCTGCTCATCATGGACGCATGTCAAGCTTTTAGGGACGATAGTCATATGTGAAGGCTTTGGCTCTCTGTGGGTACCCTTGGCAGTCAGAGAGGCATTCGAGGTGTTGTTGCAGGGTTTACAGGAGGGGGGCACACCTGCAAAGAGAGCTGTTCCCTTCCACTGCTGTCTGTTTGGCAGATATCTCGGTCTGCCAAGCTCATCGGGGCTGATATCCGGGCATGTATTAGGGTCTGCCCGCGCTGCCACCTATTTCTTTATGATGGTGCTGTTTGACTGGTTGCAGCTTAGCAGCTAAGCTCTCACCACCTGCGGGTGCTTCCGGACGTAATGACGACGGCCTTCACGGCATCGACTGCATTTGCTGACTGATGTAATGCACATTCATTCAAGCAGGGGCCCATAAGCAGGTGAAATGAATTTCAAAGCGAGGCTCTTGTCGGACACGAGGATCCACTCTGACCCTTCCACTGTGCCCCAGCATGTTTCGGCTAGCACCTGCACAGCTGGACTAGCTGGACATCTTTCACCAGTGGGACTCGTCAAGGCTGCAGTGGAGCCAGCACTGCTGCTTCCTTCTCTAAGTGTGTTCGCCAACCAGCCTCATTGATGACCACTTCCACTGATTTGCCGGCAGTCTTGTCCCGCATCACTAAAGTCTTGTTCCTGGGCTTGCTCATACTAATTTGTGCTGTTTGCTTGAAGCACCCTTTCGTGCTGCACGCCGCTACAGCAGTCATAAAAACTGGACTGGCCAATCTGTGCAGCTGCTGATGCTAGCTTTCATGACTAGCGAGTTTTACGCGCTGGGCAACATGCAGCCACTGCAAGCAAGCTGCACATCAAAATTAATTGTGAGATGGCGAGGACTGTGAGAGCACTCGTCCGCGCAATCCCGAGGTGAAAGCAAGGCGCAATCTTGGTATACCCAGCCTTGGGGCCAATCAAGCAAGACGCATCATGCTATGTCATCTCCAGCTGTCACTCTCATCCATGCGCTCATGTAAACATCTCGAACATGATGCTATACTATAGAAAGATTCTAGTATACTATCATATATTAATCCATATTATGGTCTTTTTAATCTGTGCAGGACATGTTACTGACGAACTCGTCAAAGTCGATCGCGCTTCTATCGCTCCATCGGGCCAAAATTGTGTCAACATCTGATGTGTCCCAAATTCCCAGATTGTGGTCACCCAGGGTCAGGAGGAGCTCCCTGAGAGCACAAAAGACATTGGATACAGTATTCGTGCATCTCTCAGCTATCAACTCTTCGTCTTTCCAGCCTTGTGGAAGGTGTGACCTTTTTTGGATGCTCAGGCCGGCCCGTTTCGACCATGCCGAATTCTAGTCTGTCTCGCTGGGTAGCTGATGTCAAAAGGGATTCCAGGCAGCCATCTACGCTTTGGTTGCGCGCGCTCAAGATGCGCACCTTGCCCCCTGGTGATGATTTTTAGCCTCCGGGGTTTGTGTAGGAGACCTGGTGTCTGCGTCAAAAGTATGCCTGTGTAGACTGGCTTTCGGCTCATACCACAACCTCGTATGCACAATTTGTTCTTTTGGCGTGAGGCTGGGCCAAATGGAAAGTCACTTCTTCGGATTTTGCTATGCGTTAACACCCTGCGTATCGTCGATAATGTTCCCCAAGTGTTGAAACAACCGTGTCTTGCCTTTGTTTGGTTGTTCCGCGAGACGGGATCAGTCACGCTGCAGGTACCCTCATACCTCTCGAGCTGCAACCATCAGCAGGTCCCTCACCTTGAAAAGATTTGGCTTATGCCTGCTTCTTGCCTTTGTACTCTACTATGTGCAGCCTGTTTCCTCCTGAGTCTCTGTGGTCGTTGTCATTGCTGTCCCTGCCTGCGGGCCGAAGCTGCCTCTTTGGGTTACCCTCCTCCTTCTCCTCACCCTCCCCGCGTTGAGAAAACGACTAGCCGGGGCTATGATGCGAGTGCGCTGTGCAGGATCAGTACCACAGGAATGGTATCGGGATGTTGTTGATGCAAGGTCTCAGGTGTTACCAAATTGCCCCAGTAGTGCGTAAACATTGAGCGTCTCATCGCCTTCCGCAAGCAAGGCGAGTCGCTGGTGGCGCTTCCGGACTATGCTGACTCCAGCGCTTGACGTAGCTTCAGCTCAGGCCTCCTACCCTACATGATTCCTTTTCAAGTGTGCAGCTCTGCAGCAATAGCTTATCATCGACCCCATCACCAGTACTCACGAACTGCTCTCAACATTACAGACTGCTTGCAATCGGCTTTTGCATTCCGGCCAGAGTCCCCGTTACATTTCCACAAAGCCGTCTCTCAATTTCACTCTCTCTCCTTCTGCACCTTTATCTCTGATTCATGCAATGTCTTAAGTCACTGGCATACTGGAAACAACACCTCGAACAGATTGCAAGGGTATGGGCATAGGTGTGCATCTTTTACTTGGCCTGCCTCAAAGTGCTGGGGCTCACCTTTCCGTCTCCGCCGCAATGGTTGTGGAAAATGTCGCTGATCAGCTTCATGGCAGCAGGCACTGCTTGAAAGGCTTGATAAAATTGTCAGTGTGCTGATGATCGCTGCTAGGCCTCTGATCAACGTAATCTAAATTGAAATGGTGCTGCTGCAGCTGATGGCTGAATTTTGCAGGTTGCAGGGCCAGTTATGACCTGAATCTGAACGTTAGTTTTTCTGCACGCTTCGGCAGATCCCTGAAGCCAAAGACTGGGCAAATAGATGGCAGAACCTCACAATTCTGGGCAATGTGGCATGTCAACTCATCCAGACTTTCTCCTGCACGCGACACTGGAAATGTTGCCATCTGAGCCCTGCTCCCCAGGCTGACATTCGTCTATCTCGTCTCCCTGTCCGTCCACGAATTTCCAGGAGAGAGCGCCTCAGTCGTCTCGCCCGCTTCTTTAGCCCAAAGCGGGCTCATGAGTATTAATGAACAACTCCCAGCAAGGACCACACAAACAGGCGCCAGCACCACATGCGAACGCTACATCCATGTAAGAGGGCACGTGATGGCATCAGCACCCAACAAGTCCAGAAAACTATTGCAACATGTAGCAGGCAGGGCCATGATGCCAAAAGCTTACAGTACCAGGGACAAAGTATGCTCCTGCAACCCGTTGAGTTCAATAGAGGGTAAGGCAATGCTTTCGGATTTCATGTCATCGCCCCGTAGCAAGGATGCGCGGCGCACAGGAAAACTCACGCAGGGAGCAGGGGAGGAAAGGGAGGACCATGCAGCAAGGCCCGAGAGAGAGACAAAACGGTGCTCATGGCTACTGAACCCCAGGAATGATCACATGAGATATCCACAAAGGTTGAAGTCGGATCTACAGCCCACATGGAGGGCTGATATTATCTATGGATACCTACGATGTTTCTAGGGTCCCCCTGGCAACAGCATATCAGACCCTAATGCTTGCTGGTAGGTGTTTCGGGATCCGGAGCCCGCCATTTCCGACCCTGGCTGTTTTGCTACATTTCGCTGCAAGGCTGTTTCCGCACAGTCCACGGAAATGTAAAGGTAGGGATCATGAGGCTCGGTAGGGATTATAGGCAATAATATACTGTGATTCAACACAGATTCTTCAGGCCGGCCTGAAAAATGCAAGGGATCTGGAGGAGATATCCTTGCGGCTATATACAAACTAGACTGGAATTCTGTAGGGATTTGGAAAGTTTATAGGGTTTATTTCCACTAATTCAAGGATCAGGTGGGCACTCTTCGGAGCTGTCTCCGGAATTCACAAGGTTTTCATGGGAATAATGAAAGGAAGCATGCAGTATATAGGAATATACGGAGATTGTGCAAGAGCCATCGGGCTTGTCATGAGCTTATTGGGGATCATGTACGATGACGCATACAAGCCATTTAGAGATCATGTAGCTCTTCCTCAGGGTCATATGGGTTGTGTAAGGACCTGCCTGTGATTACATAACGCGGCAAGATCATAGATGTTTTGTGAGGATCACGCTATAGTACACGGGATTTGTGAAGGCTTTTCTCAAAACTTGCTCTGAACTGCCCGGTGTCGCCCGTGGCGTCTCGGGACATCAGGCTTGGGGAAGTTTAGACACGCGCATTGCTTGGGGAAGTTTAGGGTTAAGCCTTATTTCATTGCCCTGTGCATGCAGTTTGGATGTCTTCCTTTCTCTTCAGGGCTACGGGACATGACAACAATGATGTTGTTGTCGAGCGTTCAGGTTTTCATGGCCAGATTCGTTTAATTCGTGGATAAACGTTAGATTTGTTGAGCCACCTTTCCTTGAGGCGCATTCCAGAAAGCCGTTCAGCAATCCACTTTTGAGAAGGACATCAAATTGGCCGTGTTGTGAAGAAGTGCCTTGACCCAGGACCCATGTCTACCGAATTGCTTGTTTCAGGGAGGGTCCGAAATCAAAATGGACATAGGCTGGTTAAAAAATTTCTCGACGACCAAAGGAACATCTCAGGCGACCAAAACAACCTTGCCGGGCCACCAAAAACCCCATGCGAGCCACCAAAAGGACAGATGCAAACACCAAGACTAGGATCAGGAAACCAAAGCTAAGATAAATCATGACACCAAAGCTGTCGCGGCAGGCGACCAAAAGAAACCCTGTGGTTACCAAAATCGCATTTTTCTCCAACTCTGCACCGACGGATGCACTGCAGCGAAAGCGGAGCCTGTCGCAGGGTTGGGGTGATTCGGGTGATTCGGGATATTTTGGGGGTTGGTGAAAAGGTTTGTTGATGCTCGCGCGGTTTGCTGCCTGGACTACGCACGAGAATTGACTACATGGCCTCTATTCGGGGATGCCCCTCAACCTATGCTGACCTGAGCTGACGTGGGGGGTCGGGGGCATGGGGGCCAAGCTGACCTGATCTGACATCCGTCTGATGGAACCCTTACCCCTGCCCCTCGTGAATCCGTTGTCATTACTGATTTAGCATCAGTATTAAACTAATGGTACTTAATGCCTCGAAAAAAAAAGCTCCCTGGATCTTTGTCACTTGGGATCCTGGGGTTAGCTCGTCTGGGCAGACTATGAAATTTGCAGCGGATGAGGCCTGGAGCAGGTAAAAGCAGGTAAGGTAAAGCTACACCGAGAAAGATTTAGACCCTTACAGTAAGCCAGTAAGCCAGTAAGCCACGATTCCTTTGCGGAGTCACGAAGCGGTGGCGCCACGAAAGGCGCACGAAGAGCCCAGGCCTATAGCACAGGAAGCCGGAGTCTAGGTACACGGCAAAGGAGGTTTAGGGCTTTAGTGTTCACGGGGTGTGCCCGGTTGATAAAGGGCTGACGTGGGGATGAAGAAGTAAAGAATTCCGGATTTAGGGTTGGTAAGGACGGGACATGGTTAAGGCTTGGCTCGAAGTTTATTGGGAAAATGGACCACAGGGATATTTTTGCAATGAATCAGACCTGCTGAGGTAAAAACAGGTAAGGCAAAGCTTCACCAAAGATTTACAGCCTCACAGGAAGGCAGTAAGCCATGATGCCTCTGGAGAGTCGCCAAGCGGCGCCGCCACGAACGGCGCACAAAGAGCCCAGGCCTAGCACAGGGAGCCGTTTGGGTACAGGGTAAACGTACGGTTTGAGGTTCAGTTTACGGGGTGTTCCCGATCAAGGGCTGACATGCGGATGAAGAAGTCAGCACGAACTGATAAAGAATTCCAGATTTAGGCCTGGTATGACGGTTTTGAGGATTGGAGTTGGCTACGTTGACTGGGTCCTTGAAGAATGAAAACCTGGGAAAATTGACGACAGGATGCTCTACAATATTTTTGCCCGTATAGTGACTAAGCCCAGAGCCCAGTCCAAGGCATGGTTCAAAAGGCTACCTGGATCTTGGTTACTTGGGATCCTTGGGTTAGCTCGTCTGGCTAGCACAGACGACCGGGAATAGGAGTAGGAGTAGCTAGCTGACCTGTCCTGAGCTGATCTGACCTGATCTGATCCCTGTCCGTAGTTGAACTCGTCGTGATTCCTTTACCGTGAAAGTCTCTTACTCAGACTGCCCGAACACACAGAGGACCAAAACAAGGAACCAAACTAGTTTGGCCTGACCCAGCCTTGCCTACCCAACCTGAGCTGACCTCGCATCATGAACAGCTCCCAAGCCCGGACATTTGTGTTCAGGTGCGCCGTGCAAACGCTTCACAGGCAAGTGAGATCCTCAAGCCGCTGAGCGTTGGAAATTATAGTTATGCCACTGGTTAGCCTCACTAGCCTGAGGATCCCCACCCTGCAACAGCTGCATGGTCCACAATGACCTCGCTGATCACCGAGCAGATTTGGCGCTCCTTACGTCAGGGGAGGAGGCAGTGGATGCCTGATTGGAGCTGGCCGCGCGAATTTTCTTCTCATCTGACCACGCATCCAGAAGTTGCCTAGCCGCCAGCTTGACGTGTAGCTGAGTCCGCGCATTGGAAAACAACGCTCGCATTGCCTCGTCTGCCTTGAGGTCCCTCGCCTCGCTCAAAGACATGTGCAGCGCCAACAGTTCGGAGACAGCCTCCATTTGGTGGAGAGAGTTTGTGTTGTCTCTCAGCTTGAGCGTCGCCTTGTGTAGAGACGCAATCCGGGCTGCGCGCATATCCACCCTTCGAGCCAACACGGTGTTTTTTCCAGGAGAGTTCCCAACAGCACCAAGCCTTCGCTTTTTCTCATTCTTCCGCTTTTGCCGAGCAAGGGAACGTTCACGGGCCTGCTTGATGAGGGTCTCCATGGTAGACCAGGCACTTTGCTTGGGCAGCTGCCGAATCAATGGACCGCGTGGAAGCAGCCTCTTCCTCAGTGCATCCTCAGCTCCTCGTACCGCAGGCTCTGCGTGACGGGCGGCATATTCGGAGATGCCTGCTAGCTTGACCCTCTCGTCCCCCTCCAGCCAGCGCGTCAAGGTGACATGCGCACAGTCTCCGTCTTTGGCAAACTGGGCACCTCAATTGTTTACGGGAGCGCAAGGAAAACTGAGTTACAGAAACTTTCGCCCAATCTGACCTATGCTGACCTGGTCCGACCTAATCCAACCTGACCAAGCCTGGCCGAAGTCTGACACAAACCCGAAAAACCTAAAAGCGGTCTGCCTCGCAACCCTCAACCCTGGACCGAAACCCAACCCAGCCGGTGAACCTGTGGCAAAACAAGAAAAGATGTCTGTCGAGCCGCACGTGCGTATGATCTTGTGCCCATGGAAAGGGCGGCGAAGGACGAAGATCATGGCAAGCTCTGTTAGCAACGTCCGAAGGCGAGCCACGGACAGCAACTCGGCTTCGGTCTCGGCATCAGGCTTGAGCAAGTTCAGCTGCTTGGCCGCTTCTGTGAATTGCTCTACGTTCTCAGCTTGCGCAAGCCTAAACAGCTTTTCGTGGCAGGTATCATCGATTTGGAGGTTGGCCTGTCTGACCGGCATCGTGTAGCTGCGTTTGACATCAAAGCTCTGGACTCGGCTGCCGACTTCCGTGGCCACAAAATTGCTGGGCAGATATTCAAGAAACCTCCACACTGGAGCAAGAAGCCGTTGTTG